GTTGGCTTGTTCAGGTTGATCCTGAGCAGGTTGGTCCTGAGCAGGTTGTTTAGTAATTGGAGATTTTGGTAGGTTATTACACTTTTTGGTTAATTGGTTTATAGAGATGTCAGTAGATTTAATTGCAGGTTGAGCGACAGTTGTGTGCTCTGTATGTGTAATTCTGTAATTTGCTGAAGTAAAGCTAGTGTGGTATTTGCTACAGTAGCATTTACCAATGGAAGGTTGATGAGGTACTTGAAAGAAGTGCTTTTTTGTTGAATCGCAAGCTTCAGGTTTAAAAGCATATGGAAGTACTTTGAGATTTTTGGGATCTTTTTCTTTAATCCCTACTCCGTATCGATCATGATAATTTTTGTAGTAATCAAGATTGTAGGAATCTGGATCTTTAGAGATTAAAGTGGGCATAATGTAAAAGAATAGATAGAAGTTTTAGTAAAAGGGTGTGACAAATAAGAGGAAGTGAAAAATAAGGTATGTGACAAATAAGGAGTGTGATAAATAAGGGGTGTGACAAATAAGGTGTCACACAGTATAGCGATCAGCGGATCGACAGGATCGTTGAAAGCTAAAATTTGTGTAAATTTAATTAGAACAAAAATAGTAAAGAAGGTATAAAAATAGATGAAACAAGATTGGGATTGTGTAAATTGATTAGTAATATGGATTAGTAATTGGGATCTGCAAGTTTGGGCGCACTAGGAGGAGCAGAATGCCCCAAAAAAAAGAAAAAAAATTTTTGTAAAAATTAAGCAGAGTTTTTGTAGAGAGTTTTATATTATTTTGTTAATAAAATTAGAAGTTTTTATCCGTTTTAGATGTATTATATATTAAAATAAAGCTCTAATTTAGCTTAATCTTTTTCTATTAATAAGCAAGAAGGGTTTACTTAATAAAATTTTAAGTAAACAGCAAAATATAGAATTTTAGAAATATAATTATAACTCAGTAGCAAAGAGCCTTAGAGCTATAAAACTAGGCCACTTATAAGTAAAATTAAGTGTAGAACAACTTTACTTAGGCAGCCTGAGATAGTTTACTTAATAAAATGTTGAGTAAATAGCAATTGTTTTCAAGAAGAATTTGGTACACGTAATCATCAGGAAGAGTTAGTGATTTGCGTCTACAATTGAATAATTGTTTCTTTTTATATCTTCATTATTATTAAAAAATAATGAACTAATAATTGATCCAGATTTTGTTTTTAATTTGCTGTATTTATAAATTTTAGTAGTATTAATCTAAATTTTTTAAAATATATAATTTTAATAAATTTAAAAAATCTAAAAATATAATAAAAGGGGTGTGGCGACTTAGTGAAGTAGTCAAGTTGTCACTCTCCAAGTGGCACATCCAGAGTTCAATTCCCACCAATGACAAAAAATCGAATTCTTCTATGCATTAATAACTATTTGGGTGTTGGGATGTAGATCTTATAATAATGGTCAGACCAAATAGGTGCAAGGGGTAATGATCGCCTAACGGATGGCTTATCTAATAAGCTCTAATCGGGGTGTAGTACAGACTTGGAAGATCTTGGGACATTTGTATAATAGAGGAGTTATATGAAGGAATACAAACTGATAAAAGGTGGTGTAAACTCATGATAAGTCTCCGGGACCTGTGTAAATCTGTTGAATGTTGTCCCTAATAGGAATCCACTTGGCAAGTCCTGAGTAGAGAGGTAGTATCCTAGCTGGGCTGAAAAAATGTTACAGTCATGTGTAGATTCTACTCTGACCATATGATGATCTATATAATCTAACCAATCAGTGTTTACTATGGTCATTTAAAATTTACAAGATATTTTAACCTTTTTTTTAAAATTCAAACGAAGATAACTCGCATACTATCTAGTTAAGTTTGATAAAATTTTTTTTATTTTAAATCTATGAATACTTAGAATTAAAATAAAATAAAGCTCATTGTATTTAGTCAGGTTTTCGCCAAGATATCTTTGATTAAATTATCAGCTGCCTCTAGTCTTTAAACAATTTTTCTTTGAAAAACCATGACTGGACAGAATATAGATAGTAATAACACTGTGTGTTAAGACTAAGCCTTGACCATGGGATATTGTAAGACTTATTGGTAGCGAAGGCTTAGAAGTTTAGATCTGTATAAATAATTATTTTATTCATTATCTTTGTTTATTTTTATATCTAAAGATTCTTACTTGTTATTAAAGCATAATGACTAAAAGTGAACCAAAGCTTAGAAAAAGGTTGGAAGATAGTAAGGTGGAGTAACTAGAATGTAGAAAAGCTTAGTTAAGAGTTCAAGAAAGGTTAAATTAGTAAAAATAAGCCTGGTAGAAGGTACTGGTTGGCCCAACAAATAGAACTAAACTCAAGAATATGTAAAAGTCTTATTCTTATGTATCTCAAAAGTATAAAAAGGGTGCCTATTCGCTCTTTCAATAAAGCTTTAGATTTCATTATCTTTAATATAGGAGTATTAAGAATTGATTTCTTGAATTGATGTTATATAAGTTATTGTATTTCTTTTATATTGTATTTCCCTTATCTTAACCGTGAAGGCACTTTTCGATTGTATTATACCCTTTTTGTTATTACCTATTACCTTATTACCTTATAAGTCTCGACCCTTAATTTCAATAGTACTGATTAACTATTGTGATTACTGATTTATTTAATTACGATTATATAACTTAATTTATTTACTTGATTGATTACTGATAGATATAATTAAGTGCTTCAATCTTAGAATCTAGTTAAGTTCGATAAAGATTTTTTATTTTAAATCTATGAATACTTAGAATTAAAATAAAATAAAGCTTATTGTATTTGATTAGGTTTTCATTGAGATATCTTCGATTAAATTATCAGCTGCCTCTAGTCTTTAAATATATTAATTTTATATAAGTAATCGCATTTTATTTATTTTATTCAGTAAAATATTACATTATTAATATTAATTTTTTCTTTTAACTTCTAATTGCTTAACACTAACATCGTGCCAGCATTGAATTAAATTCATTATAAAATGAGAATCAATTTCCCATCCTAAGTCATGAGTACCTTCAAATCTTTAAGTATTATGATCCCTTTTCTATATATTTTAATAATTATTCAAAATTTCTCTAGAATTAATCCCAAATTAGAAAAAACTGATATATGTTTTTTAAATCTTAATTTTAGCATCTATAATTCACACAAAACAGAGAAGTTTCTTGTGAACTAGCAGAGAAACAGTACTTTGTTAAATGGTTTAAGGTGAGGAAATGATAAATTCTAATTGCATAAATTTTATTAATATTTAGAAATATAGCACTAACAAAAAAATTCTTTTTATACAGTAATTTTTGTTTCAGAAAACTAGATTGAAGCTTTGTAGCTAATAAAATTCTGAACAATTGGACCGAATCAGTGACACCAGAATTTCATTCTTCATATGATACCAAGTGACTATTTACTTTTTTGTTCTATAAGGTGACGCCAATCAGCTTCTTTGGTTTAATTATAGTTAAAGACTAATGTTCATGCTATTTTAAATTTTCTATACCGCTTAATTCATTAGTTCGCAAATCAAAGGTTTTTTAAAGTTGGCACAACTTATTTTACATAGATAGTCATTTTTAATAACTAGCACAACTTATTTTACATATTTAGTTGTTTTTAATAACTGGCTACGTAAAACTCTGCATATTGTTTTTTTCTTATCTGTATTAGAAATTTATTTCATTATTGAAATAGAATTTGGTAAAATGACAACATAAGTAACTATTCTCAAAAAGGAAAATTACTATACTAATATCATTCTATATTATACCTGAATTAGTCTTATATAGTTCTTTTTTTTTATTCTTTATTTGAAATATATGTATTCAAAGCCCATTAGATGCACACGAATATATTTGTGCAATTAAAATTGTGATACTATTAGAGAGGCATATGAGGAATCATAAATAGGTTGTAAAAAAAGAAAACTTTAAATTGAAGTTGAGAATATAGAAATCAGAGAGTTAGAAAATATTTAAATTGTGCTTTTCAACCTCGAGAAAGCTTTAGAATTTGATTGAAGATTCAAATAAAATATTTCTTATTTATTTTTTTATTAAATTTAAAACTATTATAAATTCTATTTTATCATACTTATTATACTAATCCTTTGATAGCCATCTTTTTTAACACAAAATTTTTATCACAAAAATAAATACAATAAACTTCTAGTATATAAATAAACATAAGTGAAAGTAGCTTATCTACTCAAATTTCTGAAACTAAAAAATGTTCTGATTGTCACATGTTAAAGAAAAAACAAGATTTCTACAGACTTTGTAATAACAATCCACAATATGAGCACGTGACCTGTAATATGTGCTCAGAAAGACGCAGTAAAAAAAGACAAGAAACCAATCCGGCTAAGAAAACTAAAGTAGATACAGACCTTAATGTAATAGTTCTGTCCATTAGCATTTCACTTTCTAGAATTAATAATGCTTCAGATTTTCTCCAAGTTGAAATATTATTAATAATAATTTTGAGCAAACATCAGAAGCTCATCTCTTATTTGATGAAGAAGTTGAAGGCACAATAGAAATAGACAAGCATAATATTCCAAGTGACAAGAATGATGATGATAATAATGCTAAAGCTCTTTTATACTGCATGGATGAAGTAGAAAGGTTCATTGCTCTACAGTTTCAGAATGCTGAGTCATCTAAAGAGTCCACTAAGTTTGTACTTGAAATCGAATTGGATTCAGAACTTTTAAATAGTGTTGAACTTGATCAAGATATTGAAACTGATCTACTAGAGTTGAACAAAATCAAAAATAGTTTTATACAACTAACCAAAATCCTTATCTTACTATTAGAATCTGGATCTAAATATAGTAAAATTAGTTTTAAATTTTTAAAAAAAGAAATTTACAGGATGTGCTACAGTATATTTTTAATGTGCATCACGAGACAACCAAGGAGGGCAAAGATCAGATAACCAGGAGATCAAAAGGCGAAGTGAAGCTCGTGCAGCAATACAATGATTTCTATGTAGAAGTAAAATTACAATTAATATGAATATTTAATTACAATTTGCAAGTGTACAATGTGAACATTTGTGTGCACATGAACAACTATCATATCGGCAAATAGAATTCCCAAAAAATGGATTCAAAAAAACCACCATTATCACTTGAGGAGCTCAGAGTTGTACTGCTATTTTATAGACAATAATCTAATTCGTACAATACATACGAAAGAGGAGATATACTATTGGGCGTCAGTTTATAGCAAGCAAACATATATTACAAACCAAGGTAATCAACTTTTGTCATCTAAAACATACCTTGAACAGTCTGAACTCATAACTAGAGGTTTCAAAATTATCACTTACTTCGATAATAATTTTGTACAGGCTTTGGGATTTATTACTCCACTGTTTAATCGAATTGGTGCACAAAATATAAATGAGATCATAATAGATTCAACATTTAAAACAAATCAGGAATGATTTGAGCTTTTTGTTATAAATGCTAATTGTGGTAGGTATGGTATGCCACTAGCATACTTATACTTACTAACATCAAGTAATTTAGAAACAGTACATCACTATCCAAGTGATGGAATCATAACTCGTGGTCAGAATCTTCAAAGGTTCTTCGCAAGTCTTCACTGAGAAGGCTGTTACTTTCATTTGTCTTGTTAGACAAAGATGTTAATGAAATTTCAGCCGTTAGTGAAGCCTGGTCGTGGACAACAAATCTTCAACTATGTTATTGATATTTGGAAAATGCTATTAATAAACATTTAAAAGATAAAAAGCCATGGTCAAACACTTATTCTAAAGAAAAGGCATTAGAAGCTCATCAACTATTCAATTTCATAGATCCATCGTGGTTATCAACTAGTAGTATTAAAACCTTATGTTCAGAAAAAGAAGCTAAAGAAATAGTAAATATAATTAAGCGTCATACAAATATACACCTATTAATTCCAATAGAAAAGAATATTTTCTGGAGTTCAGCTCATATCTATTACAATTGTGTAAAGGAGGTCTATCTTTTTTGTTACAATAACAAGATTTGCAGATTGTGTAGATACTTTTGAATAAACTGGTACAATAAAAAAGATTGGAAAATGTTTGACCATTCTGCCTATTCGGCAGCTATGCCTTTAGCCCGGACTATAATGATTACAGAGAGTTACTAGAGAGTACTTAAGTATAATTATAAGTACAACTATAATAGACCCCGGCTAGACCGTCTTACTAACATTCTTGCTAAACAGCTAATACCAGACTTCGACCTCAAATTAGCCTAATATAATACAGGTTGAAATTTTCTATCTTGGTGGCAAGCCTTTAAAAAAGACTAGAACAAGGTCATGTCTGCAGATATCGCACCTAATATAGATGAAAGATATCATGTAGATATAGATAATTGAATATGCTCTTGTCCGGTATATGCAAATAGCCATTATTTTCTTTACAAACATCTAGTTACAAAGAAAGTGAAAGAGTTTTGGCTTATATTTAGCGAGACAACAAGATGATATGACTATCCATTATTTGTTTTTTGCAATAATAAACCTCCAGCGATAACTCAAAGAAATAATCCATAGAAAATAACTAATATAATTACTATTGATAAGAATTCTATTACTAGTATTGAGAATTCTACTTCAGAAAGTCATCACCCACGAGACTCGCAAGACGTATCAAGAATAGTGTTTGAAAAAAAGATGGAGGAAAGGCAAGAAATGTACATTCAATATGCAAAGAGGTTTGAGAAGGCGTTAGAATTGTATAAGAGAGAAATGGATAATGATAATTTTATAAAAAATTTTGATACCTTAGTTGGACCATTCATAAAGGCTGTTGGTGAGTGAAGAAGCCTTATAGGCCCATAACCAGCAAGGTACTCAAAAATCAAGTAATGAAAAGCTTGCGTTCTGGTTACGTTAGTTTCTAGTACTAAAAAAACCATAAGCAAGCCTCTTAGATATAGATAACTACATATTATTCTGTAAAAAATAGTTAAGTATTATTAGCAATTTTTTTAAAATAAAATTTTTTTCTTAACAATTATATATATTTGTAATATGTTACCTTTAAAGTTTCGACAGTATTTGCCTAATCTCAAGCAGAAATATCTTGATCTAAGTCACTTAATTAAATGTTACTAATCCAAATTGTTATATATATAAAAAAATCTAACGTTGCTATAAAATTTAAAAGTACTGATCTGAATCCTGTATCACTATAAATTTTTAAAAGTAAAAAAAAAAATTAATTAAATTCAAAAAATAAATAAAACAAGTTACTGTTACTGACCCAAATCGTGCATCTCTATATATAAATTTTTAAAAGAAAAAAAAATAAGTTATCGAGTGTCACAAAGTAAAAAAAATTCGTATGATTTTCTGTTAATGCTAATTGGCTGGATGTAATTTTTTTCAGCGTACTAATGTTAGTGTTAAGCGATTAGAAGTTAAAGAAAGAATTAATGTTAATAATATAATATTTTAGCTAAATAAAATAAATAAAATGTGATTACTTACATGAAATTAATATATTTAAAGACTAGAAGCAGCTGATAATTTAATCAAAGATATCTCAGCGAAAACCTGACTAAATACAATGAGCTTTATTTTATTTTAATTCTAAGTATTCATAAATTTAAAATAAAAAAATCTTTATCAAACTTAACTAGATTCCAAGATCGAGGCACTTAATTATATCTACTGGTAATCAATCAAGTAAATAAATCAGATTATATAATCGTAATTAAATAAATCGTGATCACAATAGTTAATCAGTACTATTAATATTAAGGGTCGAGACTTATAAGGTAATAAGATAATAGAAAATAACAAAAAGGGTATAATACAATCGTAAAGTGCCTTCACAGTTAAGATAAAAGAAATACAATATAAAAGAAATACAATAACTTATATAACATCAATTTGAGAAATCAATTTTTAATACTCCTATATTAAAGACAATAAAATCTAAAGCTTTATTGAAAGGGTGAATAGGCACCCTTTTTATACTTTTGAGATACATAAGAATAAGACTTTTACATATTCTTGGGTTTAGTTCTATTTGTTAGGCCCAACTAGTACCTTCTACCAGGCTTATTTTTACTAATTTAACTTTTCTTGGACTCTTAACTAAGCTTTTCTACATTCTAGTTACTCCTCCTTACTTTCTTCTAACCTTTTTCTAAGCTTTGGTTTACTTCTAGTTATTACACCTTAATAACAAGTAAGAAACTTTAGATATAAAAATAAACAAAGATGACGAATAAAATAATTATTTGTACAGATCTAAACTTCTAAGCCTTCGCAACCAATAAGTCTTACAATATCCTGTGGTCAAGGCTTAGTCTTAATACACAGTGTTATTACTATCTATATTCTGTCCAGTCACGGTTTTTTCAAAGAAAAATCATTTAAAGACTAAAGGCAGCTGATAATTTAATTAAAGATATCTTAGTGAAAACCTGACTAAATACAATGAGCTTTATTTTATTTTAATTCTAAGTATTCATAGATTTAAAATAAAAAAATTTTATCAAACTTAACTAGATAGTACACGAGTTATCTTCGTTTGAATTTTAAAAAAAAGGTTAAAATATCTTGTAAATTTTAAATGACCATAGCAAACACTGATTGGTTGGATTATGTAGATCATCACATGGTCAGAGTAGAATCTACACATGACCGTAACTTTTTTTCAGCCTGCTAGGGTACTAGTAAAGAGGTAGCACTACTTTCGACAGCTCTGAAAAGTTCGAGAAGAAAACTAATAAGCTGTGAATCCAAACGAGAACTGGGTGTTTGGCGAGCACTATACCAACCAGGCCGCTAGAATCGACCAGAGGAAAAGAGCATAGGCCATTATCTGAGTTAAGCCAATAGGAAAGTGGGTAACGTAACTTGTGAACCAAACTGGGCTATCTGGATTGGAAGTTTGGTAAAATAGTAGAAGGGTTCCTGATTGGATGAGTAAGGGCTGGGGTAGAGTGAACTCTATAAGGGCAGAAGTAGGTAACAGTAGTGGCTTCGGCTTGCAAGTACTTGTCCTTGGACATGGTGTAAGTTACTGAAGCCTAGGTCAGCCTAAATGTGGGTATGGAAGGCTTTAGCAGGTTTATCTCGAGGACAAAGAACCCCTATAGGTGGGTCTGTCTTAAAGTCCTAAGTGGGGGATTCGAAAATAAGGGGATACTAATGTATTATTGCTCAGTTAGAAGATTAATGTATATAGGCGCAGAGGGTTTAAATGATTAACTCAGTAGGGTTATAGATACAGCAGCTAGTGTAGGATTTAGTAATAGGGGTCTACTTAAATAAGCAACCAAAAGTTGCAAATGTGGCTAGTTATACTCTCCAAATATGTGTACGGTATAGTGTATACTATACTGTAAAAGTTAACAATATTGAATAAAAGGACAGTAACCAAAAGGTCATCTTAAAACCAAAAAAAAAAAATATATATATATATAATAAAATATAAAGTAGATGCGCAATCACTATAGGTATGTTTTATAATAAATAAAATTATTTACCTCTATATCTTTTAATGATAAATTAAATTTAGTTGCATAATATTGTTTAATTTTTTGAATTTTTCCTTTTGTCATTATATGTTTTTTTGATAAAGAAAATGATTTTTCTTTATTAAAAGATTTATTAAAATTTGATTTAAAAATTTGCTGGTTATATTTATCATTATATTGTAAATGTGCAAAATGTATCTATATAGTTAATTGGTTTATTAAATTTTTATATGGATGTATATGAGAATTAACTAAAGAAATTAGTATTCTACATAATCTTTCTATTAGAAATTGCCATGTTGCCCATGCTGGACCAGTTTTATAAATTGATTCTGTAATATATAAAAGATAATAAAAACTAATAAGAGTTGCCTATAAACGTTCAGATTTTTTTTAATAATATTCTCTAAAAAAATAAATTAATTAAAATTTTCAAAATATTATTTTATAAAATTATGTTTTAAAAACTTATTGTTCATAATGTTTAATAAATTTGATAAATAGTATTTTGATTTCTTTAAGTTCATCTTTTGATAAAGTTTGATTAAGACATAATTTTGTTGCATTAACAAAATTTTAACATTCATTTAAATATCTATAAATTTAATAAAATTTAATAATTATTTATAATAACAATTTTTAAATTTATAAATTATTAAAACTAATTACTTTTTTGGAAGAACCGGGCTGAGATAATAATTAATTTGATGCTATTTGACTTCTTTTGGCCCTGGTAGAAGGGCTAAAATCAACATATCTCTTTTTTAAACTATATTTCCCATAGTAAATTACAAATTGCACCATATATTGCTCTATTACTGTAAGAAGTGAATCAAAAGACTGAAACCAATTCATGTTTATAATTATACCTAGGTGTAAATCCACAGTTTCAGGTGTGAAAAATCTTGATTGTTTGAAATTATTGTTATCTAATAAAAAAGTTTCTAAATTTTATCATTGTATATATCAGATATCAAATATGGCTCATGGTCCTGTTTAATTTATTTACACAAAAGTTCTTCAAACTCCAGTATTTGGAATATTGCAGATTTTGTGTTTTTAGACACAGTAATAGATATACTATTTTAGAATGCCAAATGTGTTTATTATTTACTGATATTTAAATAATAATTCAAACCCATAAGGTTAACATTTAGATCATAATAGATGGTTAGGAAACTCTATATATGAACACTTAAACTCTGAATTATTATCATTTGTATTTTTTGGAACTATAGTATCAATATTATACAGCTTGTTATAATTAAAACAAGCTACAAATTTTTTTTTGTTAATTTTTAATGATTTTATAGCCACTGTTTGAAAGAAAGTTTTCAAATCTTATTTTATAAAAATTTGACAAAAGAAATTTTAAATATATTATCAATGAATCAATTATTTTTGAGAGCTGGACCCCTTCTTGATACTTGAAAACCCAAATCAAAATATCAGAATTACTTATGACTTTTTTTATATTAGAATATTCATAAGTTGCTTTGTTGAAATCAGAAGCTGCAAAATTATTAATGAAATCTTATCATTATTTAAGAATTGTTCATCACAGGACAATTTGTCAAATTAATAGGTTTGCTGTTCGAGTTCTTTATCTAAAATTATAACATTGTTGGTTTTTGAAATTGATTATATCTAAAAGAGCTAAACTTCTAACAAAAAATTCTTAATTTACCATTGTCAATTACCATCATATCATTTTCATAGGTATTACGAATCTTAGCTAAAATAATTTTAAAATAATGTTAAATAAAAAAGATGGACCAGTATTGAATCAACTTTATTTGTTTCTTTTAGCAATTTTGAGATCAAACCTTGAAGCTGCTTCTCTATTTCTTCATGAGCCATTCTGTTTCTTGTTTCTACTAATTTACTGTTACATAATTTACAGTAATATGATACTTTGGACGATTTGTATGTTTCTTAGATATTACATTTCTTTTAGGTATTGATGATGCTAATTTTTTATACAAGCACTGTTTCCTTGATTGAATATGCATTTTTTTTAATAAAATAACAATAATTGAATATTGATCTTTGGTTATAAAATCAGAGATAGCAATTGTTTAATCTGTAAATCATAGTTTAATGTGCCAAAAGAAATAGAGTATATTTATATAATTATATTTAGAGTATTTTAAAGTATGGTAGTCTGGATTTGACTTGTCATGATGAATTTGGATTACTGTATCTCAAATATTAAGTATTTGTATTAGATGTTCAAAGTACAAAATTAGTTGATTTAGTACTTTTTTCTAGCACTTAGTAAATTTAATTGTTTAAGAATCCAATTTGTAATATGCTTTAATTAGTAACTTTAATTATTATGGATTACTAATTAGTGATAGTACCATACTAATACATATATTATAGATTTCTTAACTGAATTGATCTCAACTATTGATATGTAATATGAATACAATATATATATAATACTATTAATCATATTACTACCAAAGTTATATATATTAAGATTCGATCCTTTTTTTAGTAATCATTATAAAAAAGTCTTATGTATTAAGGATTAATCCTTTTTTTAGTTATTGTTATAAGAAAGTCATATGTATTAAGGTTCGATTCTTTTTTTTAGTTATCTGTTATAAGATTATGTCATTAAATAATACGTAAGCTTATTATTGCAATACTACTTTATGTCAAAAAAAGTATATATTTTAACATTTTTTAGTTCAATTGACAGATATAAAAGGACAACTTTTAGATGGACTTAAAAAGAAAAATTATATCTATTTAGGATACTTTTATATGCACATATAATATGCATCATTCTGGAAGCTCTTATCATAGCCAAAATAGATCTTGATTAAAAAGTTTAAGTTATAAGCATTCAAGAAATATAAATAAGTATAAATTTCATTATGATAAAGATACTAAGCATAATTGGTAAGCTATAATATTTGTTCAATTTATATATCAATATTGTATTATAATTAATACTCATGCATCAACTTAGGTCTTCAGCATTTAATTTTAAGAGTCTGTCACAAAAAAAACCTTATAATAATAAGATTAAAGAGAAAGAAAGTCAGAATGAAGGTAAGTTTAACAATTATTATTGATCACATATCAACACTATATTTTATTAAAATATGTTTTTTAGACGAAATCGCTTCATTAACACAAGACAAAAAGATCCAAAAACTGTTTGAGAAATTTTTTAATAATCCAAAGCCACTTATAAATAATGATGACGAAAGCCAGATATAAATTCAAAATCAATTAAACAGAAGTCGATCAAGATCTTGAGACAAATCAAACTAGATTCGATTAAGCTCTCTAGCCAGACTAAGCCAAAACAATTCAAGATCTCAAAACAATTCAAGATCTCAAGACAATTCAAGTATAAGTTGTTTGCAACTACAAGATCAATTGAGCAAAAGTAGTTCACCAATTTGAGATAAATTAGATTAAAATAGTTCACCTAAATATTACTTTATTGAGGACCTTACTGATAACCTTCGAATTGCTATAAGGGTAAATAAAAAAAATTTTATTTATATTTTTATTTCATTATATTTACTATAAATAAGATTCTTTATATTTAGTAACAGATCTTCTGGATAATTGAAAGGATGCCAACCCAAAGCCAACTAGTTTTAGACCAGTTGTTTATTTCTTAGAAAAAACCAATAATAAATATAATAATTCTGATTGTGATGAATGCATTGGATCCAGAAATGTTTCTGGTTACTGAAAATATTGTTTATGATATTATTCATATTCATTATAAGAACTAATATAAGTTGCATTTATTTAAACAACAACCAGCTACGTAACAGGATAATCGTCTTCAGCTGATTAAAAATATGTTTGTGTACCATTCACCTGAAGTTTCTAAAAGTGATAAAGAGAATCCTTCTAATAATAGAAAGATTATTGCAAAGAATTTGAAATGGCGCTCAACTACTGTAAGATTAATGATAATCATTATATTTGCTATACAAATTTTTAATGTTCTTATAATGAATAAATGAATTAAATTACTTTAAGAGTTATTTTATAATAGATAATTTCAAAATCTTTTAAAACTAACCCAGTTATATTATGAGAGCCAATTGATTAATTTTGTATAACTAATTTATTTACAGCTACAGTTGTTTTTACATAATTACATCGATCATATATTTGTTGAATTGTTCAAGGTTCCAAAAAAATGACTTTGTACTCAAGATACTGTTAGTTATTATAAGAAAGAACAAATCAAGCCATTCTTAGCACTGAATAGGACAGTTAGTGGCTACAAAAGATTCCTAAAAAATGCTGTGCAAAATGCTTATGATAAACAATTATCTAATATGCTTCCTTAAAGGGTATCGAGATGTAAAAATATGTTTAGAAGATAGTGATTATTCACAAATTACATTTGCAAGTTAATGTACTGTCAAAATTACAATTAGTCAAATATTCATTTAAGGTAATCTATAAGTATTATATTATTTAGGCTAAGCTAGTATATTGTTAATATAATAACTTACTATTTTCACTATCTTTAATGAAACTGTATTAAATTTATAAATATCACTGTACATCATGTTGAATTTGCTCAATTAAAATAGTCAACCCTTTAAGTTTGATTTTCTTTTTTTAAAAACAGCTGTTATTTCTTCAAATTTGTATTTTTTTTCAAATCTTCAAATTGCTTAGTAAAACAAATTGCTTTTTATTTTATCATTCATATTTATTAAAGTATATTATTGCTTAGTTTAATTTGTCAAAATTTTTTGTAATATTATAGATAGTTCTGGAAATAAAAAAAAGTTCATTATAAGAATTACTGTTTTCTTAAAAGCCATGACACTTTTTATACCAAATTATTATAAATTGTAGTTTATTACATTCAGAGTTGTCTATATTAAATCCCATTCAACATCTGTTATACTATGTAGATAGCCATATAGATGACCCTAATTTTTTATAATAGAAAAATTTTTAAATCAGATATATTATGTATAACAAGATGTATAACTAATATTTATCTTTTATAAACCAAATATTTTGGTTAGTTAACTTGAACTACACTTGATTTTGCTTAAAAAGAAGTGACTAACTTATATAATCAAGTTATACTTAATCCTCAGATCATTATAATTATTAATTAAATATATAATTAAAAAATAATATAAAGTGTAAGGACCTTTGTAATAGAGTTCAAAAAATATTATTTTAAGATAATCAAGTTTTTTGTGATCAAAAATTTGATCATTTATTGGTTAATAATTTTGGCACATTTTATACTTCATTTTCTTTATTTTTTTTTTTAGATTTATATTGTACTATTACAGGCAAAAAATGATATTTCTGAAAGTAAAAATAAAATTGCTCCATAAATCTAGTAAGAATTAAGATGCCACAAAAATGCTGAGGTTTTGAATCTTCAGTTATGACATATGAAGCTTGTTAGCCAAATTGATTATATTGGATAAGTAAACAGACGTAAGCTAAAACATTTTTACTAAAATATACATATGGCAATGTCTTAGAATTCTAAGCAAAGCATTAAGAAAGGATGGTCAAAGCCTCTTTTAATTATCCTTCTAAGAAGATATTTAAAGAGCACAACATCAAGAATAGTTGGTTTTAACCCTTGTATATCATTATAATAAATTTATTACAAACCCATAGTCATGTCTCTGGCAAGTTACTTATTTTTCTTTGTATATTAAACCCACCCCGTGACATTATTCAATTTTGGCCTAGTATAAAATTTGATTCAATAATTTTAACCTATTTCTTTTATCTTAAGAGTATTATAGACTTTTAACAAGATCAAGTGCCTATATATAAATCTATCAACTTATTAGTTTTATATATAATTATATGGAAAATTTATAGATTAGGGCCCAAAAATGAAAATAATTACAAATAAAGGCCCAAAATAATAATTACAGATAAAGACCAGATATTTGAAAATTATTACAAATAAGGGCCCAAATATACTGCCAAAATTGCTAGCTGATTTAAACATAATGATATCATAATTAATTGCTTCATTTTGTGATTAAATAGATATTTTTAAGTTATCGTTCATTATTCAGGAAAAAAAATTTAACTAACCAACCAGATTTTTGAAATCCATGTAATGCAAAACAAAAAATTAACTTTATATACCTTAATTCTCCAGACTACTTACTACAGAACAAACATGATTTATAATTTCACAAGGTCAAAGTACTACTATATTTTTTAACTAATGATACAATAAATCTTACAAAATATGATCCATGTGCTTTGAATGCTTCTATAAGTTAGATAATGAGAAATTAGCCTTACTATATGGATGTAGCCATCTTTGTGCTTATTAGCTAAAATAGTAGAAAGGTATAAAGTGGCTTCATATACAATACAAATAGCTAACAGCTTTATTGAGTTTGTTCGTTCTAAACTAAAAGATTCGATAGAATAATTGTCTAAGACTAAATTAACCTTTTCTATATCAGTAAAGTCATACTAATTAGTTTATGAAATATATTAAGAATTTCAAGAGGATAAATTTACAGTGCAAATAATAGATTAATAAATTGAATGTATATTGTTTATTGTGCATTTGAATTTCTATTCGAATTACTAATTGATTATTATCATATTTCTTATGTGTTAACAGTTAATAACTATATTTACAATCATATTCAAATTATCGAAATGGGTTTAAATTAGAATATTGCTATTTATCGCCAGTGCCGATATCGCTGGGAATACTATATCTCAAAAATCTAAAAGCTAACATATATATAGATACTAAGTAAAAATGTTCAGAACTCCTAAAAACCTAATCTTAACAAAGATTTGAATCTTTATATCTAACTCTAACCTTGGTCTAAAACTGCACTCTATCTCTAAATTTGATAAAAGAAATAGGTGGTGGTGGTATCGCCACTGGCGATAAATGCTAAAATTCTTAAATAATAGGTTCTTAAGCATATAATTATTTTGGGCTCTTATTTGTAATAATTTCAAATATTAGAGCTTTATCTGTAATTATTTTTATTTAGGACCCTTATTTGTAATTATTTTCACCTTTGAGCTCTTATCTGTAAATTCTTCTTTATTTTATTATATAATTGATTAACTTTATAATCAATTAATATTTTATTAAAGAAGCTATATTAAAAAGATCCTAATATTTATATTTGATATCTTATATAAGAACTCTGCAGATTGTTTATCTCTATTTAGACTACTTAAAGGGTCTTGCGTATTTTATATTTAATCATATGATTTTACTCACATGTATATTATAAATTTAATTAACAAGATGAACAATATCAATACTTTAAAATAAATTTTATTTAAATTTTAATCAAAGTTAGTAAATATATTATATTTTTGGTTTAAGTGCAATTGCATCGTACAGCTATATATTAATTTTATTTTAAATTATATAAAATATTTTTAATTTGTAAAATGATAAATTAGTAAAATTTTATTTATTTGAGTTGTATATTAATAAACTTTTTGAAAAAATTAAAATTCAAGCTAGCAGTAGTATATATTTTTGTAGTTTAGAAATATAGATAAATTGCTATAACTTGCTATAACTTTTAATGTAACTTGTCATAACAATAAAGTTATAGCAAAAATGCTATAACTTTATTATTTTATAACAAGTTACAATGAAGATTATAATAATTTTCCTATATCACTAATATGATCTAAAATATAATATTTAATTTTTTTTTTTTTTACTTTTGCAATGTTATGAAAGGGTGAATTTTTATTAGATATATTAGTAGTATTCTTGGTTAACGAGAGTATATGCTAGCCATACCTGTGCCTTTTAAGTGCCTAATTAAGTAGCTATCTATTACTAAGGTCTATACTAGATGCTGTATCTATAACCCACTATTATTTGAGCTATCCAATTAAACTCTCTGATGTCTCCCATCTTGCATCACCACTTTAATTATGCTAACCCATAACCTCATGCTGCTTCATTGAAGACTACCCAGATTGACATGTGCTATACTACATGTGCTCTAATTCGATAAATAACCCAGTAGAGTTCTCATACTTACCAGATTATTCTAGAGAGGGTATAGTATATACTCCTCTAATCTTTTATGTCACACACATTTCCAGACTAGGCCTTTTTGGTAACTTACACTGAGTCTGAGGACAAGTATTTGTGAGCCAAGGCCACTATAGTTACCTACTACTGCCTTTGTAGAGTTTACCCAAACCCTAGTATCTACTTTATAGACTCTCTCTCATACCTCCAGAAACCCAAACTCCCAATCCGTTAGCTCAGAAGAGCAGAACCCTTCCTTCAATTATCCAATAGCCTAGTTAGTATAGTGCCTTGTTAAACACCTTGGTCCTGTCCGGTTTTCCGATATCTGGTTAATCATCTTTTATATAGTACAGTCTCAGATATTACCAAATTTGGATGTTGCAGATCACCTCCTTTTTTGTACGATTAAAAAATTCTCAAGGCTTCCATTTAAGTCTATTACTAATCTATAAAGATCCATGAGGCTAAATTTACGCCAATCACCATTCATTTTCTTATTTGGTAAAAAACTGCCTTCTAAAGCCCTTGAGATCATGAGGGATCCCTAGACTATATAATCATAGGACAATTTTTATTAAAATTAATTTGAAAGTTTATTATTAAATGATTTTTTTATAAAAAGAAATAAAAATGCTATATAAATTGATTCTAGAAGAGTCATTTACTAATAGTAGATCAATTTCTATATTTGGTAATATCTGAGACTGTAGTAACTATCAAAGATTTGTGCTACCTCTCAACTCGGGTCTTGCTAATAGGCTCCCATATCTTGTAAATTCGCTGAATTTATTCAGTAGCTTTACTCAGGTTTCATATAACTCATACATCACACTACATATTCCACTATCTCTCAGTACAAGCTGGTATGACTACCATTGCAGGTTCTATAATCCAATAGGATACAGTCTTCCAAATGCATTTTCTATAAATTCAAATTTTCGTCGCTGGTAGGATTTGAACTCTAGTCCTACTGTTTGAAGATGCGACAACTTGCCAACTTCACTAAGTTACTACACCCTTTTAATTTTTTTATTTAAATTTATTATTATTCAAATTATATCTAATTAGAAATCTTTATTGATATTTATAAAAATTATTTACTATAATTAGATTTATATAATTGCTTTTTAATTTATTATATTTCTTTTCTGATTAATATATAAATTATAATTTGTTAATCTTCTATATAATAAAAATTATTTAATAAGCAATTTTACTGATTGTAATAAATTTATTAATTTGTAATCAAATAAACAACTTATTTTAAATAAGCATTTCTAATTGAACATTGATTTTATG